CGCCTGGCGCCAGCCTTGGGCGTCCCACGCAGCCCTTCGGAAGCGAGGCCCGCCTCCGGCATTATTATTTAAGTGCAACTACCCCTCCACCCCCCAATTCACTTCGCACATGCACGTCTTCTTTGCCCTTTTCCTGTTTGTTTTCACAGAACTAAATGGCTCATACTCTGTGAAATCGAGACACTAGTTCTCATTCTGATGTTTGTGCAACTATGGAAAGTGAGTGCCGGGAAGGACTTTCAGGGTGATTGATCCCAATCCCTTCATTTTGCAAAGGGGAAAACAGACCCCGAGGGGTAACATGTATTGGCCCAGCTAGATAATGGTTCAGCATGAATGAGAGAGAATCATTGATCGGCCGCCTTCTGCATGCCCCCCACTGGGGATCGAGTCTGCAACCCAGGCATGTGCCCTTGGCCAGAATCGAACCCAGGACCGCTCAGTCCGCAGGCTGACGCGCTGTCCACTGAGCCAAGCCGGCCAGGGCCCAAAGCTGGGTTTTTACATAGACTTACAAATGGTCAGTAGTGAGTGTCAGTTAGCAAGGTGAAGTGAATAGCAGGTTGGTTTGGTGTGGGCTTTGCCTTGCTAGTGCTGCCCCCTCTTTAAACATTGTTTTCTTGTTTCAGACTTCATGCTTCTTGGTTTCCAAAGAAAATGGCAGAAGCAGCAGCAGAGCCTCCCGGGCAGCTTGTTGTGCACTCAGGCACTCACAGTGACGCTGTCCTGGCCAGCTTGGAGGACCAGAGGAAGAAGGGCTTTCTCTGTGACATCACTTTAATCGTGGAGAATGTGCATTTCCGGGCCCACAAAGCCTTACTGGCGGCCAGTAGTGAATACTTCTCCATGATGTTTGCTGAAGAGGGGGAGATCGGCCAGTCCATTTATATGCTGGAGGGCATGGTGGCCGACACATTTGGTATCCTGCTGGAGTTTATCTACACGGGTTATCTCCAGGCCAGTGAGAAGAGTACAGAACAAATCCTGGCGACTGCTCAATTCTTAAAAGTCTACGACCTGGTAAAGGCTTACACGGACTTTCAGAATAACCATAGCTCCCCAAAGCCAGCGACGTTGAACACAGCTGGTGCTCCAGTGGTGGTTATTTCTAATAAGAAAAATGATCCGCCGAAGCGGAAACGGGGAAGACCAAGAAAAGTCAACAGTTTGCCAGAGGGGAAATCGGAACTGGCTGCGGAGGAAGAAATACAGCTGAGAGTGAACAACTCAGTTCAGAACAGACAAAACTCTGCGGTTAAAGAGGGAGACAGTGGGGTACTGAATGAACAGACCGTAGCGAAAGAAATAGAAGAATCTGAGCCTGCTTGTGAGCCAGGTAGAGGGGAGGGAACTCCCGCTGAAAAAGATGAGAACTGTGATCCTAAGACCCAAGATGGGCAGGACCACCAGACTCGGTACAGCAAGCGGAGGATTCAGAGATCCATCAAACTGAGAGATTACAAACTTGTTGGGGATGAAGAAGATCAGGGGTCAGCCAAGAGGGTCTGTGGAAGGAGAAAGCGCCCCATTGGCCCTGAGGCCCGTTGTAAAGACTGTGGCAAAGTCTTCAAGTACAATCACTTTTTAGCAATCCACCAGAGGAGCCACACGGGTAATTATACTTTCACAGCTTATTGGAATGTGTTTTGGAGTAGTAATGATAATAATAGTTTTCATTTATTGTGCAACTTCTAGGTCATGGGCATTGTAATAAAGCCCTTACACGTGTAACTGCATTTAGTTCTCACAACAGTCCTGTGAGAGAGGTTATATTATCCCCATTATACAGATGAAGAGACCAAGTCTTAGAAAGCTTAACTGGCCCAGGTTACCCATGTAGTGACAGAGCTGGGATTTGAACTCAGGCAGTCTGATTCCAGAGCCTCTTATTTATTGTTGTTGCTTCCAGGGTATAATATTCAGGTATCGAACTCTAGCCAAATGCATCTGCTTTCTGACTCTTGAACATTCCTCCTCTTGACCATAGCTATGCTTTTGGTCTGTGTGGACAGCTTTCTCACTCAGCCATTTAGCTGTAAATCTCTTCTTTCTGGTCCCGCTAGCCCAGTACTGAAGAGACCCTTCAGTGATGATGGGAATATCATCATCAGATATAGTGGTGGCCACTAGCCACATGGATTTTGAGCACTTAACATGTGGTGTGACTAAGAAACTGAATTTTTAATTTTATCTTAAGTCATTTAAATGGTCATTGTATTGGACAATGTAGCCCTAGCCAGAAATCCCTTCTTCATTTGAACCCTCTCTCATACATACACCTACCTAACTCATTCTGCTTTGGATTTGATTGTAGTACCACTTAAATACCCTTTAACTTAATTGTAAGCTTATGTATAGGACTGATGCGTAAGTCTTCTGTCATCCAGCAGTTTGCTGTCATCTGACCCAGTAGTTCTGACTGTGGTTCTGAACCTGGCTGCTCCTTAGAATCACCGAGGGAACTTCTAAAACTACCAGTGCCTGGGCCCCGAGATTCTGATTTAATTGTCTGGAGATTTGGTGTTTTCAAGATCGATGAGAACCCTGAATTCTGGTTCTTTGAACAAAGTTGACACTTGAGGAATACTTGTTGAACTGTAATACAGCATAGTTTAAAGAGTTAGGTAGTTCTACGAGATCTTTTAAGGAAAATAGCACATAGGATCTTCCCTTTTGCCCAGTATTCAGAGAGTTTCCAGTGAATCACATTAGAATGGGTCTCTCTTAAACTCATAACTCTCAGTTCCAGAAAGTTTCCTGGAATTATTTCATAGGTGATTTCTCCTCTCTGTTTTCTCTGCTCCCTTTTGGAACTCCTGGTCTCTGATTGTTGAACCTCCTGAACCCATCCTCTAATTTCCTTACCTTTTTTTCTCCTATTTCCACCTAGGGAAATTTCCGCGCGCGCGCATGTGTGTGCGTGCGTGCGTGCGTGTGTGTGTGTGCGTGTGTGTATGTGTGTGTGTTTCTACTTTTATGTTTTTTGCTTCTAGGTGCTTATTTTTCTCTAAATTCTTTTTTGTATTAGAGTTCTTTCTCTTTGTTTCACAGTGTAATATCTTACCTCTGAGCATGTTAATAATAACATTTACTTATTTGTTAGGTTTTAACATTTTCTTCACCTTAGGCAGTTTCTGTGTTCTGCACGTTGCCTTTTTTCTTCTTCTTTGGCATCTGTTTCAACTACTGGAGGCCTTCTTTAAATGATGATTTAAAAACATCGTTTTGTAAGAATGGTTTTCTAAAAGCTACTGGCAACTCTGCAAGTATGGAGAAGGCCTGTAGAAAACAGCCTTGCTGGGGGTGGCGTGGCTGGCCCCCACTTCCTTGCTGATGCTCTCTTACCTTGGGCTCTTTTACATTGTAGGCAAAGACTTTCCACTCTCCCACCTGGAGGCTATAGGCTCCTTGCTGCCAGGATCTAGAGCAGGAGGGAGAAGAAGGCTGGCGGGGGAGGGGGGTGGAGGTGTCTCATCATCTCAAACACAAAGTTTGACCTGTTCTCCCTGTGGTCGTCCTACTCCACTGGCCTGGGAGACCTCTAGTCCAGAGACCCTTTGCTTTACCCTCTATGGAGAGCAGTCTCCGTCTTCTTTTGAGGAGAGGGCCGGTCTCCTGGCTCCGTGGGGTAGGAGACTGAATCTGAGGGGTCTAAGCACCTTTGAAATAGACTGTCACTTATCCTCCTTACCCCCATGTTCAGAGAGAACAGGTGCCACCAATTCCTAAGTCTTATTGGAGGCTCTGTCTTCAAAACTAGGTTGTATCTCGACATTCCTCACTGCTGCCATCCGATTCATCTGTTTCAGCTTGCAAAATTGTATTGCTGATACTGTTTCTCCAGTTCATTGGCCTTTTGGATGTGTGCCTTTTAAGAGAAATCCCTTTATTGTTACTTTAATTTGCGAGTGAACAGAAAGATGTGCAGATTCTTGCTTATACAATTTTCTGGGGCTCTTATTCTAGGGGAGCGACCTTTCAAATGCAATGAGTGTGGAAAAGGCTTTACCCAGAAGCACTCCCTACAGGTCCACAGCCGGATTCACACAGGCGAGCGGCCATACACCTGCACTGTGTGCAGCAAGGCTCTCACCACCAAGCACTCGCTGCTGGAGCACATGAGCCTGCACTCAGGTAGCCGGGCTTGCACAGGAGGGCACCAGGTTCCCATTCCCCGGGTGGGCATTACCGTGATCTAACTAGTCTCCCCCCAGGCTGGTGCCGTTTCCTGCATGGTGTCATTGAACAACAATTATGCTTTTGTTAGAGTGAAGTTTACAGTTCTGCACAGCATTGAGCCTTAGCGAGGACTTATTATAAACTGGCTGCAGATGTATTTCGTTTAACCACCAGAACTTGGAATTATTTTACTTCAGATGCCTTTGGGGCACACTTGAATTCTCCAGTTCTACCCCAGTCTCCACCACTCCCCATTGTCTTCCATGCCTTTGTAACATGTATGTTACTGGGGTAGACTCTGAAGGCATGGGTTTGTAGACAAGTCACTTGTATCATTTGTAGAAAATGGGGACCTGTGCCCACTATGATATTTACCATATTAATGAGCATTCTAGTTCTTTATAGTTTTTTGCATGTTTTAGTGTTTTGTTTTTTATTTGGCAGGACAGAAGTCTTTTACCTGTGATCAGTGTGGAAAATATTTCAGCCAGAAAAGACAACTAAAGAGCCATTACCGAGTCCATACAGGTACAATAAAGTGAGAGAAAATTTGGATTGGTGGGGGAGAAATGCAAATAAAAATTATTTCTGAAACACTGGGTTTATATTATAGAAGATAAATTAGTATTCAGGAAAAAGCCTTAAAAGCCATCTAAATTAGATGTTCTTGTGTTTATTCTCACTACCTTGTGGTTTGTGTTTAATTTTTATTCCATAGTTTTGGTGCCACTCACAGAAACCCTACAAATTAGTACCTTTCAAAAGTGCAGCTTGACTGTGAGGTGCCAGTGGATTAATTGTTAGTGGTGCCTGGAGAGAGATGTCACTACCCCATAGCTGTCGTCCAGACTTTCTCCAACCTAGCTCCACCTACTGGCCTTTTTTTCCTGACAACCCATAAGAAATGAATGGGAGGTTGGGAGTCATTTGAGATTAATTGGCCACAGTGTACCAGTGCTTCAAGGGGAAAAGGAGATTATACTTAGGAAGATTGGAAGGGTCCCAGCTTTCTTAGGAAGCAGTAAATTGAAATGCAGAGGAAATTTTAACTGTTACCAAATTAATATGAAAATTATTAGGTTTTATTAAAGTACCATATTTAAAGTGGTTATCTTTGAGGAAATTGTTGTAACACAAATCTCTGAAGAAATGCAGGAAGAGCATATATGCACTAACACTGTTTTTATTCCAAGAGAACAAATCTATTTTATTTATTTACTTTCCAATAAGTCTAAATCCACGAGGGGTACCGCGTTACACAGGTGCTGTGTCCACTGGCCTTAGCAGGAAGGTTGCTTTGGAATTTAGCACGAACCTTGCCACTGTTTCCATGGCGTGAGTTACCTTCCCCAGGCGACTCTGGTTTTGTCCGGTTGGCCAGCAGGTGTCACTGTTGTTTTCTGTTTTGCACACATAGGCACATCTCTTGCCCAGAGAGAGTTCAGTTTCAGGTCGAGCACAAGCACCTTCAGTTTTAAGAGCTGTGTGTTCCCTCTGGGTCTGGAGACCCCACTTATAGCTGGCAAAAATGGCCTTGGCCCACAGCCTTCCAGACGTATTTGTCGTTATAGAAGTCCTGTTCCCAGCAGGCCTCCAGGGCTCCAAGATGGCGGGAAGAGGCACTGACACTTTTTTTATTGTTGCGACAAGGCCACTCATTACCGGAATGCAACCACTGCCATCGCAAATTCATGGACGTGTCTCAACTAAAGAAACACCTACGAACACACACAGGTAAAACACTATCTCATCCTTCCTTTCTAGTATACTTTATATTTTCAGGAGAGTTAGGAATAAAATACTTGGAGTACCCTCCCCAGATAGTTCTTTGTAAATTGGGTGGGAATTTTATAATCTACTAGTGGCCCGGTGCATGAAATTCGTGCATATTAAAAGGGGATTAATTAGAGGGAATATTTTAATATTGCTGTTTGCCCTTTCTCTATAATAGAAGTGTCAGAGATGAAAGAAAATTAGTAAATTGTATATGAAAATCTTCCTCCTGTCAGAGTCTGGGGTACACCACGGGACCCAGAGCTAAGTCCCTGCCTACCCGTGGCACCTCAAAATCGCCTGAGACCCAGACCCACCTGGCCCACCCCATTGGGCGAGATCCAGTCCCAGCTGGCCCCACCCTTGTCAAGCCCCACGGGGTAGGGGGCACAGCCTCAGGTCCCCCAGTCCGGTGCCAGGGTGGGGGGCACGGCCTGAGGTCCCCCATCAAGCCCCGCCGGGTGGGGGTCGTGGCCTGAGGTCCCCCGTCAAGCCGTACAGGACAAGAGGTGCAGCCTGAGGTCCCTTGGCCTGGTGCCAGGGCGGGGGAGGGGGGGTGCAGCCTCAGGTCCCCTGCCCCGGCCCAGGGGAGGTGCAGCCTCAGGTCTCCTGCCCCAGCCCAGCACCACACAGCCTCAGGTCCCCGCTGATTGCTCGTTAAGGCTTGTTATAGGAACTCAGCCTCTGCTGTGGGTGCAGCCATTTTGTGTTACAGAAACCCCGCCTCCACTGTGAGCGCAGCTATCTTGTATTATGGAAACCCCACCTCCGCTGTGGGTGCCGCCATCTTTGTGATGGTGTGATGGTGAATTTGCATATTCCCTCTTTATTAGATAGGATAAGCCCAAGCAGAATGCTGTCAGCATTTGTGGGGCAGTAACATTTCTGTAGATTAGCAAAACAGATTACTTACTGAGCACTTTTTCTAGGGAAATTTATGTAATACCACAAAAGAGTGCAAATCAGAGTCTGGTTCCATGTTTCACTCTTAACCCTACTAGACTGCTGTACCGATTTTTCGGTAATTTCCACACAAAGGTGGAATATTGGCACTAGATGAAAGGTAGATGAAAGGTAGACCTATTTTCTACAAAGTCTCCAAGTTCCATCTTGTTCTAACCACTTGTTTGCATGTAACTAACATTTTTCTATATCATGTTGGTTTTTTCTCTTTAATGCTCAGGAGCCCAAATATAGGGGACAGTTAGGTTCAGGGCCTCAGGTCTGGTAGTAGTAAGGAGGTGAAAGAAGGTGGGACTGGGAAGATCACCTTATATTGGGACCACTTTCTCAAGTTTTCACAGCACCATTTATTGAAGAGACTGTCTTTACTCCATTGTGTGTTTCTGGCTCCTTTGTCGAAATTTATCTATCCATATACATGTGATTTTATAGCTGGGCTCTCTATTCTGTTCCATTGATCTGTGTCTGTTCTCTGCCAATACCATGCTGTTTTGATTATTGTAATTCTATAGTATAATTTGAAGTCAGGTAGTGTGTTACCTCCAGCTTTGTTCTTTTATCTCAGGATTGCTTTGGCTTTTGGGGGTCTTTTGTGGTTCCATACAAATCTGATGACTTCTCATTCTACTTCTTAAAAACATGACATTGGGATTTTGATGGGGATTGCATTAAATCTGTATATTGCTTTGGGCAATATGGCCATTTATGTTGATTCTTCCCTTCCATGAACACAGAATATTTTTCTATTTTGTTGTGTCTTTTTCAATTGCTTTTAAATAATGCTTTGTAATTTTCAATATATAGGCCTTTCACATTCTTTGTTATGTTTATTACTAGGGACTTTATGCTTTTGGTTGCAATTACAAAAGGAATTGGGTTTGTTGGGTTTTTTTGTGTGTTTTTCTTTTCATTTCTTTTTCTGAATGTTGTCCACAAAAAGTGACAGTTTGACTTCTTCCTTCGCTATTTGGATGCTTTTTATTTCTTTACCTTGCCTTATTGCTCTGGCTAGGACTTCCAGCACTATGGTGAATAAGAGTGGTGAGAGTGGACATCCTTGTCTTGTTCCTGATCTTAGAGGAAAAGCTTTTAATTTTTCACCATTGAGTATGAGAGTAGCTGAGGTTTTATCATATATGTCCTTTATTATGTTGAGGTGTTATCATATATGGCTTTTATTATGGCCTTTCCTTCTACTCCTGTTTTATTGAATGTTTTAATCATAAATGATGTTGTATCTTATCAAATGCTTTTTCTGCATCTATTGATAAGGTCATATGATATTTATTCTTGCTTTTGGTTATGTGTATTACGTTGATTGTTTTGCGTATGTTGAACCATCCTTGAGACCCTGGAATGAACCCCACTTGATCGTAATGTATTATTTTTTGGATGTACTATTGTATTTGATTTGCCAGTATTTTGTTTAGAATTTCTGCATCTGTATTCATTAGAGATATTGGTCTGTATTTTCTTTTTTTGCATTATCTTTGCCAGATTTTGGTATCAGGGTTATATTGGCCTCATAGAATGTGTTAGGAAGTATTGCCTCTTCCATTTTTTGTAAGAGTTTGACAATGACAGGTTCTAAATCTTCTTTGACTATTTAGGTTTATTATTGATGTATGAGGATTCCTATAGCCATTTTATCTTTTTTTTTCTGGTAGCTCTGTGCCTCCATCCGTTCTTTTCCTTTATGTTTCTGTCTGTTGTTTTTGTTTGGTGGTATTCCACACTTCTCGCCACTAGAAACCCCAGTAGGGTATTTGTTTTGTATTATTTTATATAGATACACTTTTTTTATTAAAAAAAAAAAAGTAAATGCAACATGTAAATATTCAGTATTGATCCCAATCTTCTAGAGCCAGCTTTCCTGGGGTTAGGGAGGAAATGTTTGTTTGAATCACCAGGCACTCATCTTCTACTGGAATGACTAGAGCCCCCAGTCAGTTCACCTGACTGCAGAATAGTACAAGACTGCTCTCAGGAACACAGAGGCTCTCTTGCCTCTCACTGCTCACACCTTAACATGGCTCCTCCTTACCCCCCTACTTTTAAACAGGTCCTTAGTAATAAACAAAACATTAGCAGAAAAACAAGAGTTATTACCTCTGGACTCTCTTAGATAAGAGCCTCCCTTGGCTTAGACTGAGGACCCATGCCCCAGAAGGGCCATTCTGACTAGATTGCATGAAGGGAGTGGGTGCAGGGGACAAAATGGCAAACACTGAATT